GTTGTTTGTTTGTTATTTATTGTGCATTTCAGCTTGTTCAGAACATGCTACCAAACGGGCTTCGCGCGCGCGTCGAAATCGCTCGACCGTTCTTGCGCGCGTGCCGTCGCGAGTATCCTCTGCAAAAAGCATGGAAAAGTGCGCGCGCGTGTCGTCGCGAGCGCGCACGCCGAAATCTTTCAAACACCTTCAGTTTCGGACGGGTTTCAAAATCGAGCGTCAACAATGCAAAACACAAGGTTACGCAACACGATTTTTTTACAAAAGCGCGCGCGCGGGCTTCGCGCGCGCATGTCGGAATCGCTCGAACGCCATGGCGCTCGTGCTACGGTGGCGCGGTTCGTGTCAAATCATACCATGCGAGCAATTTTCGCGGTTTTGCCGCGCGCATGTCGAATGCCGGTCAAAACCTTCATCACCGACGCGAAGGCGCTGTCATCGTCGTCGGCGTGATCGGCATCGGCGCCGTCACTGGCCGCGCCGTCGTCGCAGTCAGCATCGTCACCAACATCGCTACTATCATCAGCATCGTGTCTAACATTGTCGACGCTGCCATGATGCCGCGCCAGCCCAACTCGCCGATTCGCACTCAAAGTGCCCGCCCGGATGTGCCGAGCTGTCAGCACCACCGCGGTCGCGTCGGTCGCGCCAAAAGACCTGGCCGCTGCGCGCGCGCATGCGCGGGATGGCGCGGCCGCAGAGATGCACCAGCCAGCGCCTTGCACCCATCGCATGCGCCGCCGCATGAGGTTTGCAAACCAAGTTGCGGGTGGGTGGGTGGGATATTTGCGCGAGCAGTGGGGTGGACAATTCACCTCGCACAAGAATTGATTCTCCTTACTAAAAGAGAAATAGATTCTACCCCCCCCCCCGGACTTATCGGTTCCCCCGCGCGTGCTGTAAATCACATATGATTATGACCACATGTCCATCCTAAATCTGAACTCATACCATCCCAGCCAAGCCGGTATCCCCCCCCTGCGGTTCCCTGTCAAATAACATTATGCGGGGACATTTTTCTTTCTAACATAACACTTTTTCACGAATCCTTGTCAAATAATACCATGCGGGACACATTCGCGCGCGCAAAGCGAAATCCTTCCAAAACCTTAGTGTTCGTAGCGATTTTATTATAAAAACATCAAAACCCCAATGGCTTTTCAAACAAAAGGTTTCAAACATTCACCCCGCGCGCTCTTGCGGATTCCCAGGAAACACACTTTTTCAACATTTCTGTCCAAAGGGCTCTTGCGATCAACTTTTTCCTACGCTTCGAACTTCTTCAACAACGGCTGCGCGCCTGCCAGGGGCATAATCCTTGTCAAATAATGTCATGCGGGACACATTCGTTTTTTCTTCGCGCGCGCGCCGAAATCTTCAAACACCATTGGGTTTTTGAGCATTTCAGCACTGCGTATCATAAAAACACACGAATCGCACCGTAGGTCCTCGAAAAAAACCTGCACGGATTTTCAAAAGTTTGCCCGCTCGCGCTGTCCGAACCTTAAAAACCAATGTTTTTTTTCAACATTTCGGGCGCACGAGCTCGTGCGAGCTACTTTCGCGCGCTCCTTCAATGACTTTCGCGCGCCTGCCAGGGCCACTGTCCGTGTCAAGTAATACCATGCGGGACACATGCGCGCGCGCCGTCGTCGTCGTCGTCGTCGTCGCGACGACGATGACGACGACGACGACGACGACGACGACGACGGCTTCGGCGACGGCGTCGACGACGACGACGACGACGACGTCGGCGTCAGGTACTCGCTAGGAAGCTTCGCTGGGTACTTGCAGCCACGGTCTGGTGAGTTTTGCTGACCAAGTTGCGGGTGGGAGGGTGGGATGTTTGCTCGAGCAATGGAGAAGGCAACTTCAAGTTCAGCAAATATGTTGCGCCGCGTAGATTTCGCCGCGCACTGTACCACATACGTTTTTTTTTTTTCTAAAAAGAGAATCGATTTTGCCCCCTCCCCGGCGTTATCCGCCCCTCTTTCGGGTATGTAAATCATATGTGATTATGACCACATGTCCATCTTAAATTTGAACTTACACTATCCCAAAGGGGCCGGGATCGGCCACCCGGAGGTTCTTTTTTTTGTTGTGGAAAAAAATCTGTATATGTATACGTATATGTATGTGTATATATATATATATGTATGGTTATATATATATATAACGATCCGCTAGACATCTTTTGCTCTAGCATCGCACTTTTGCACTAATCCCTCGCAGAAAAAACTGGACGAAATGCACACGCGCGCGGCGCCGCGCGCATGCCGAAATCCTTCAAAAACCTTCGGTGCCGGAAGGATTTCGCAATCGAGTTTCCAAAACACATCCAAAAACACAGGGATTCGCAACACTGATTTGCTCAAAAAATTTACAACGTGCTACCAAACGGGCTTCGCGCGCATGTCGAAATCTATCGAACGCCCTTGCGCGTGTGCCGTCGCGAGAATCCTTTGCAAGAAATGGGGCGAAGTGCAGACGCGCGCGTCGTCGCGCGCGTATGCCGAAATTCTTCAAAACCCATGGGTTTCGGAAGGATTTCAGAATCGTGTGTCCAAGAAACCTTACAACAACACAAAGTTTCGCAACACGGGTTTTCAGCAAAAGCGTGCGCGCGTGCTCTTGCGTCGTCGTCGTCGTTGTCGTCGTCGCCGTCCTCCCTCATCCCGCGTCGTCGTCGTCATCGTCGCCTACGTCGTCCTCTGTATTTCCACGTGTTTGTCGTCGTCGTCCTCTTTGGCGTCGTGGTTGTTTCAGTCGTCCTTGTCTCCGTGGTCGTCCTTCGTCCTCCTCCCTCGTCGTCGTCGTCGTCCGTCGTCGGCGTCTCGTTGTCGTCCCTCCTATGTCGTCGCCGTCGTCGTCGTCGTCGTTGTCGTCGTCGTCATCTTCCCTCCTCCCGCGTCGTTGTCGTCGTCGGCGTCGCCGTCCTCTCTCCTTCGTCGTTCGCGTCGTCGCCGTCCTCCCTACTCCCTCGTCGTTGTCGTCGTTGTCGCCGTCGTCGTGCTCCCTCCTCGCTCGTCGTCGTCGTCGTCTTCGTTGGCGACGTCGTCGTCGGCGGCGTCGGCGTCGGCGTCGGCGTCGGCGTCTTCGTCGTCGTCGTCGTCGACGTCGTCGTCGTCGTCGTCGCCGCCGTCGTCGTCGTCGTCGTCGCCGCCGTCGTCGTCGTCGTCGTCGTCGTCGACGTCGTCGTCGGCGTCGTCGACGTCGTCGGCGTCGGCGTCGTCGTCGTCGGCGTCGTCATCGTCGGCGTCGGCGTTGTCGTCGTCGTCGGCGTCGGCGTCGTCGTCGTCTGCGTCGTCGTCGTCGTGGTCGTCGTCGTCGAAGTCGTCGGAGACGTCGTCGGTGTCGTCGTAGTCGTCGTCGGCATTGTCGTCGTCGGCGCCGGTGTCACTGCCAAGTGCCATTTGGAACCTACCGTCACGGTCTTAAGAGGTTGTGCAAACCAAGTTGCGGGTGGGTGGGTGGGATGTTTGCAAGAGCATAGGATGTGTCACATCATGTGTGAAAATCAATTGCACCAATTAGATTGCGCCGCATCTGTTGCAAACGTACAGGGCACCACTACCAAATGAGTTTTGCGCTAGGCATGTTTCACACGCATTACACGACACGAGTTGCATTACACATATTACACCACGTATATTGCACAACATAGGTTGTACCACCTCGGATTGCATTCTATATTCCGTAGCACTTATCATACGCTCATAACAGTGAGGGGGTGGTGGCGATGTCGGCAGTCTGCGAAACTATGGAGAAGCCCGCCGCAGGCGCCAATATTTCACACATTCTACAACGAGCCCGCCGCAGGCGCTGCTTTTTCCGTTCGACCACTGTGGGTGAGTCGCGGATGTGTCGCAAATGGGTCGCGGCTGGGTCGCGGGTGGGACGCTGTTGGGTCGCGGATGGGTCGGGGATGGATCGCCCGTGGGTCGCGGGTGGGTCGCTGTTGGGTCCCGGGTGGGTCGCGCGTGGATCGCGGATGGGTCGCGGGGTGGGTCGCGGGTGGGTCGCAGGTGGGTCGCGGGTGGGTCGCACATGGGTCGCGGGTGGGTCGCGGATGGGTCGCGGGTGGGTCGCCGGTGGGTCGCGGGTGGCTCGCGGGTAGCGCGCGGGTGGGTCGCGGGGTGGGTCGCGGGTGGGTCGCAGGTTGGGTCGCGGGTGGGTCGCGGGTGGGTCGCGGGTGGGTGGGTCGCTGGGTGGGTGGCGGGGTGGGTCGCGGGGTGGGTCGCGTGTGGGTCGCGTGTGGGTCGCTGGGTGGGTCGCGGGGTGGATCGCGGGCGGGGTCGCGGGGTGGGTCGCGGGGTGGGTCGCGGGGTGGGTCGTTGGGTGGGTCGCGGGGTGGGTCGCGGGCGGGACGACGACAGCAAACAACGATAACGCAACAGACGTAATCCCCAACACGGATCCCCATTTGAGCCACGCACCCAGGGACAATGAATGACCGTTCGGCCCCCGCACTCTGATCAGAGTGAGGGGGCTGAACTAAACGGTCATTAACTGTCCCTGGTTGCGTGGCTGAAGTGGAATTCCGCGATGCGGATTCTTGTTGTTTGTTGTTTGTTGTTTGTTGTTGTCGCCGTAGCCCTTTTAGCTCAAGCATTTTTTGTTTCGGCTCCAGCAGTTCCGGCACGGTCACTCTGGCCCGGCAGCACACGCGCGAGAGCCACGCAGACATGTCGGAGCAGGAGTTCGCGGTGAGGGTGAACGACCAGTTGAAGTCGACGGAGCTGAGGCTGTGCGGCGCGCTCGGCAGGGACAAGAGGCATGGTGTTCACATGCGGGCTTTCTGGGCGTCGACAGTATCTTTCTTCGTGGCGTTCGTGGGTTGGTTCGCCCTGAGCCCGATCGCTATCGAGGTGGTCCACAGCATCGACGCTTGCGAAAACCAGCTCTTCCCACCGGTTGCGAAGCCAGAGAGGAAAGCATTCTTGAAGTTCAAGGCGATCGAGTCGGTAAAGAAGTATTGCCAGTATGGGAAGGTCGGAGAGGATAACAATCCGACTGGGTGCCAGGATGTGCCGCAGGACGTTTGGGACGAGAGTTGTGGCGGGGTGGCGGCCACCGCGTGCACGCAGAGCGAGACGCTCACGGACGACGTCGATCTGTGCCCCGAGGCATGCATGAAATATAATTTCGAAGTCCTCCCTAAGTGCGTTTGCAGCCCGGGCACGCACTGCGGTTCGACGATCCTGTATTCAAGCATCACGTCGGTCGGCATCACGATGTTTGTGCGCGTGGCGCTCGGCACCCTCCTCGAGAGGTTCGGCCGGGTCAATGTGCAGTCTGGCCTCCTGCTCTTCGGAGCCATCTGGGTCTTCGCCGCGTCGGGCATCTCGGCAGAGTGGAACTTCATCTTCATCCGCATGATGATCGGTTGCGCGGGGGCCACGTTCGTCACAAATCAGTTCTGGTGCTCCCTCATGTTCGCCCCGAACGTGGTGGGCACCGCCAACGCGACCGCAGCGGGGTGGGGCAACCTCGGCGGCGGCGTCACACAGATTTTCATCGTGTGGTGCCTGTTCAAGCCCTTCCAGGCGATGGGCGCGAGCTCTGACACGGCTTGGCGCCTGTCCATGGCCGTCCCCGGTTGCATCTTCGTCGCGGTTGCCGTCAGCATGAAGCTGTTTTGCTGGGACATGCCAACGGGGCCCCGCTTCAAGACCAGCGACACGGGCAAGACATCAAACGCGTCGATGTGGGATTACGTGGAGTGCCTGAAGGACCCCAGGATCGTCATTATGATCTTCCAGTACGGCGCCTGCTTTGGCACGGAGCTGGTCATGAACGCGCAGCTGGCCACCCATTTCCGCGTCTACTTCCAGCTGGAGGCTGGCGCTGCCTCCGCCCTGGCAGGCTCCTTCGGCCTGATGAACTTGTTCGCGCGCTCATTGGGCGGCATCTTCAGCGATTTTCTTTTCGCCTGATTCGGTTTCTCTGGCCGTATTTGGGCTCAGTTCCTCTGCCTTTTCCTCGAGGGCATCTTCCTGCTCGGCTTCGGATCTGTGGAGAGCTCGCAGCCGTGGTACGTCGCCCTGGCCGTCTTGCTGGGTTTCTCTCTCTTCGTGCAGATGACCGAGGGCACCAGTTACGGCATCGTGCCGTTCATGAACCCGAAGCAGCTCGCGTGCACATCCGCGCTGGTGGGGGCGGGCGGGAACTTGGGCGCCGTGATCGCCCTGTGGTGTTTCTACAACACCCTTGGGCCCATCGACACCCTGCTCCCGTTCAAGATCCACGGTGCCTACGTGATCTTTTCGGCGATGACCTCTCCGGCGTTCTACTGGGCCGACAAGGGCGGCATGTTCTGCGGCGGCAGTGACCCCGCCTTCCAGAAACCCGCGCCCAAGGAACCAACAGTGGCTTAGATCCAACTCGAGGGCCAGCCAGAGCTGCGAGAGAGAATCACAGCGCAGCCGCTTCTGCTAGATTTCTCCGTTGGGGGACAGTTGGGTGCCTGATGGAGTCTTGTATTTTTGCTGTCTCCGGGCGGCCTCGGGGGCCAAGGAGGAGGCCATTCTGGTGGCCGAGGAGGAAATCAACATTTGAGCGTCTGGAGGGCGACCAGATGCCCCGAAGCGATGCTGGTCTGGAGCTCAGCACCGTGACTTTGTGGCGTTCCTACATCATGAGAGCCTCCGTAGAGGGCGGCCAGATGCCCCGAAGTGATGCTGGAGCGAAGCCCAGCACCGTGACTTTGTGACGTCCGACGTCTTCCTTCCCTCTTCCATGCCTCCCAAGAGTGCCCTACCCTCCCTCCCCCGTCTGGTTTCCGATAATTTGCCGGCGTGAAGTGCGTGTCTGAAGGCCGTCTCATGCAATGGCAGAACAATTTGCGTGTACGTTTTGCGACCGCACTTGCGCGGCGGGAGGCAAGTTAAGCAAATATTGCTTGCTGTTTTGTTCAGAACGAGGGTGCGAGCTTGAAGGCCGTCTCTCAGCCCGCGTGCCATCCTGGCCCGCTAAGAGGAGAAGGAGGACCATCGGAGGGGAGAGAAAGAAAAAAAAAAATGTTTTGTTGTTGTCGTCGTCCCACCCGCGACCCGCCCCGCGACCCACCCGCGACACACCCGCGATCAACCCCGCGACCCACACGCGACCCACCCCGCGACACACCCGCGACACACCCGCGATCCACCCGCGACCCACCCGCCGACCCACCCGCGACCCACCGGCGACCCACCCGCGACCCACCCGCGACCCACCCCGCGACCCACCCGCGACCCACCCGCGACCCACCCGCGACCCACCGCGACCCACCCGCGACCCACCCCGCATCCGACCCAAACTTTTCGGCGCCTGCGGCGGGTTTCTTTAGAATTCGCTCCAGGTGGAGAACCTGAGACCCACCGGCGACCCAAACCGCGCCCGCGACCCACCTGCGACCCACCGCGACCCACCCGCGACCCACCCCGCGACCCACCCCGCGACCCACCCAAAGTTTTCGGCGCCTGCGGCGGGTCTCTTTTGCATTCGTTCCAGGTGGAGAACCTGCAACCCACCCGCGACCCAAGCCATGTTCAGTGTACAAATCAAAATTTTCGGCGCCTGCGGCGGGCTGTTTTTGAACTCCTTCCAGGTGGAGGTGGAAAACCCGCGATCCACCCGCGACCCAAACTATGTTCATTGAGCCAGCCAACTCTTCGGCGCCTGCGGCGAGTTTCCTTTGCAGTCGTTCCAGGTGGAAGACCTGCAACCCACCCGCGTTCAGTGTACAAATCAAAATTTTCGGCGCCTGCGGCGGGCTGTTTTTGAATTCCTTCCAGTTGGAGGTGGAAAGCCCGCGACCCACCCGCGACCCAAACTACGTTCATTGAACAAGCCAAATCTCCGGCGCCTGCGGCGGGTTTCTTGTGCATTCGTTCCAAACGGAGGAGGACATGGAGGAGGAGGAGGAGGAGGAGGAGGAGGAAAAGGAGGAAGAGGAGGAAAAGGTGGAGGAGGAGGCGCACGACGACGACGATGGGGACGAGGACGCGGACGAGGAAGAGGAGGAGGAGCAGGATGAGGAGGATGATGAGGAGGAGGAGGAGGGCGCCATCGACAGGGAAGGTGAGGGCCACGAGGTCCGCCGGGTCGACGCCCGCGTCGCCCGCGCCCGCCCCCTTATCCGCAACTGCGGGGTGCTACGTATAGATAGCACACATGTTGCACCACATCGATTGCGCATCACATGGTCAACGTCACATAGTTTGCACCACATCTAGCGCACCGCGTATACTTCTCGCATCATATATGGCACAACGTAACTAACACCACGTACATTGCGCCGCGTATATTGTTCCACGCACATGGAACAACATCGATCGCACGAAACATTGTTATTCCTCCATACGCCCCTCTTGGCATATCCATTCTTTGTGAGGCCACTCCGACGCCGTGGCCGGGAATGCACGGGTGGGAAAATTGAAAGAGGATGTTGATTTCTGTAGGGGGAGGGGAGGGGCAAGGCTTGCCCTAGGGGGCGCTGTCGGCGCGTTGGAGGCTTTAGCGATCTTTGGTCCATTTTTGGCGGCTGGCATGTCGAGGGGCGGCTGGGGTGTGACAGCATCCCGGGCCTTGGAACAACAACACAATCAGAGGTAGAGGAGCCTCCCCCACCTCCTGGAGGAGGAGGAGGAGGAAGAGGAGGAGGAGGAGGAAGAGGAGTTGTGATGGGGCAGGGGGGGGAGTGGGAGGTTGAGGACAGGGAGGACAGTGGGAGGATGAAAGCAGGGACGGAGGGACAGAGAGAAGGAGGGAGGCACGGATGGGGGGAGCTCCTCCTTTTTTGTCCTTCTCCGCCTCGCAGTCAGCACGTGCAGAAAATTTACAATGTTCGGGGTGCTCATACAAGCAAAGTCATGTATTCCTTGAATTCAGCTTGGCTGAACAAACAAGAGAGGAGGATATGGGATATATTCCAAGCGCGCGGTCTACGGCAAATTCTGAACATATCCCATGGGTACATATCACGAATGTTTAACACAACCGTTCTGGAAACAACTAGGGTGCAGCCATATAGTTCTCAGTTGTTGAAGCATCTCGAGTGGTATGGTTTGGGGAGAGAGGACGAGCAACTGGCGAATACGTGCTGAGGAAATGGACGTTTCAACCAGATAGTGTGGAACCTGTCACTGACTTGTACGCGCGGGCATCCGGGCGCCTAAGGCACGACTGGACAAAGTGCTAATACAATCACATCCGCAATTGTTTCTGTGTTTACCTCGCTGACGACAACTCATGGTCTGATGTTGTTGCACATTCGGCTCTTTACAGCGAAGGCGAAAGGCTGTAAGTGAAACTTTGTTTCGTGTCTCTACGCGTTTGGCGTGTCGCTCCATTTGTCCGTGCCCACGCGCTTTTGGCGTATGGCTGCTTCGTTCGTTCGTTCGCCTCTTCTTCTTCGTCCTGCTCCCTCGTCGTCGCTCTTCTCCTCGTCTCCTCGTCGTCGCCCTCCTCTTCCTCCTCCTCCTCCTCCTCCTCCTCCTCCTCCTCCTCCTCCTCCTCCCCCACAGACCCCCTGCGTCCCGAAATAACTCGGAACGGCCGGCTTTCTCAGTCCCGTTGCGGGCCCAGGGACTAAAACAAAGGATTCACGGCGCAACGTCTGTGCGACAGATGGTGCCGAGAGTTATTGCGCCCTACATCTTCCGCCACAAATAGTACGTCGGATGCCTGGGTCTTCCTTCTGGCGTTATCTCAGAGTGATGGGTGCCGAACGGTCTTCCGCTGTCTTTGGGTGAGTGGTTGAAGTGGGGTTTCGCGGTGTAAATTATCATTCGTCTTCTTCTTCTTCTTCTTCTTCTTGTCGGCCCCGCCCTGCGACCCACCCGCGACGGCCCCACGAGCCGCCCCATGACCTGCCCCGCGACCGACCCGCGATCTGCCCCGCGACCCGCCCGCGACCCGCTCTCCGTCCCTCCTCGACCCGCCGCGCAAATCGGTCGCCGATTCGCCACGTATCCATCGCCGACCCGGTCGGCGCCTGTGGCGGGCTTGTTGTGTAATGTGGCTGGACTGTGTTTAAAGGGTCGGCGGTTGCTGCAGGCTGCGAGCTTCTTCGCATGTGCTTTCAAGCCTCGCAAACTTCCGACGACCCCCCCTCACTCTTATCTTCAATTGCGAGGCCATGGTACATCATTCTCGCTGCCCTCTTTTTGCTCTTCCTCCTTTTACGACTCCTCTCTCACCTTTCCCGCCCCTCCCGCCCTCCCCTTTGCTCCCTTCCTCCTTCAGCCCTTCAACTCCCGCATGCTGTGTCATGCCCCTCGACCATACATTCCTACCTGTGGGGGAGGAGGAGGAGGAGGAGGATGAGGAGGAGGAGGAGGAGGAGGAGGAGGAGGAGGATCAGAAACAGGTTTCATCTGCCCTTGCCCCCCGTGTTCAACTCCCGCTTCCGCTTCCTCGAACGCCCTTCCTGTGAGGATTCGTCAGGTTCCGACTTTGGCAGGAGTTCGTGGTGTTCGTGGTTGGTGGGGCGGGTGGTCGTTCACTCCGTTGGGGCCGTGTGGCAATTTATTCCCAGCTGGCTTGGCTATCGTTTCCACCCCCTCCAGTCCTAACATTCTGCGTAGCGAAGTGGCCAATTCATATTCCTCTCACGCCCCTCCCCTCTCAATCTCCATTCTCTCTGCCCCTTCCCTGCGCTCCGTGTGTGCCGTTTTCCTGGCGATGCGCAGAGGGTGCGTGGTACGGCGAGGGAGGCAGGAATGCTGCCTGGAAGGGTACTGCCCCTCTAGAGTCACACGCCCCGCTTTCTCCCCAGGGAGCGGGGGGTCCTCCCCAGGGAGCGGGGCTGGAGAGGACCTTCTCGGAAGGCCGCGACACGCAGCAAAGCAGCTGGACTGTTTTTCCATGAATTGGTCCGTGGCCTAGGATGGGCCTGGCCCGGATCGGTGCTGGTGAGCAGGTGGTGCTCTCCCATCCTCTGCGCGTGGCTCTTGCTGTTTGCTGCCTGTTCCCCCGCAGGGCCAGCGCCGAAGGACAGCTCCCAGGGTTTGCCCCATCGAGGCCGTCTCCGTCGCGCCCCCGTTAGGTCCCTCTTCAGGAGGGCAAGAACACAGACACAACGCGTCGCCGATTCCCAGGAACTACGGAAGGTACGGGAAGAACATTCAGAACAGATGGGGCATGTGGGGCATCGTGGGATTCGTGTCTATTATCTGTGTGTCCCTGGGCCCCTCCACCCCTGGTCTCGGCTCCTCTCCTTCCTTGCCGCTGCTCCCTGTCCGCGCCAGCCCTCCACGCGCTGCCCGTGGCTGGCCTGCCGCGGGCGGACTGCGTCGACGCCACGCGTGCGCGCGCGGGGCTGCCAAGCAAGAGGAGCCCGTGCCACTTCTGCCCCACGCTGGGCCTGCCCAGCGTCCTGGTCAGCCTCGAGGCAGCAGTCTTCAGATCGATGGCGAGATCGTCAGCTGTCGGAGGAGACCAAGCGGCATTAGCACTTTCGAAGCTCCGCGCGGGTTCTCGGCTCGGCGCTGCCCCCCCCCCCCCCCCCAGCGGCGCCTCTGGCCCCGCCTTTGGCGCGCTCCGCGCGGCAGGGAGGGGTGTCCAGCGCAGATCCAAGAAATTCGCGCGGTGCTCCGAACATTTCGTTCATATTGGTTGCTGTCAGTCCCATTGCCATCTGATCAATGGACCCTGACATGCAGAGGGGCGACAGGGGGTAGAAGGGAGCCATGCATCGCTGATCTGGGCTCGGATGCCTTACCCTGCCCAGGAACGCGCGGTCTTGCTGCTATCGGGGCCTATCGCCGATGTGCCGGCGATGTGCGCATTGCCGATTTCTGGTCAATGTCCCCCCAGACTTTGCCTATTTGGCCCCCTCCTTCCCGTGTGGCGCAGCGGTCGGTCTGGACGGCCACATGTTAAACATATCGAAAGTCGTTTGGTGTTCGAGCGTTGAATCGAGGAGAGCTAAGAGGGACCCTTGCCATTGTCGCCGTTGTCGTCGGCACCCTCACAGCAGGTTCGCGCCGCGTCGACGCGGCGGCGGCCTTGCTGTGGGCGTTCAAGGCTGAACGCAGCGGCCAGGATCGACCGACATCGAACGGTTTGTGTTGTCGAAAAGCCACGTGGTGTCAGACACCGACGTCGACGTCGTCGCGGCACGAATTTGCCATGTCCGTGCCCTCCACATCTTCTCCCCCTGCGCCGCCTCGCGGTTCCAGCCGCGGCCAGGCTCGCCGCCAAGATCCAAGCGAAACGGAACGCGGACGCCGAGCGTCGGGCTCGGTGCCCCCCGCTTGTGCGAAACGGTGGCTTTCGTCGTCGTCGTTGTCGTCGTCGTTGTCGTTGTTCACGCCGTCGTCGCCGTCGTTGACGCCGCCGCTGCCGCTGCCGCTAACGCCGCCGCTGCCGCCGCCGCCGCTACCGGTGCCGCTGCCGCTACCGCCGTCGCCGCTGTCGTAGGGTTGTCGCCTCAAAATTGTTCCCCAGGCCTGGACCGATTTCTGCGGCGACGCCGGCGGTGAATGGAACCGCGGCGGCGATGAAAATAATGGCCTACAAGGGGTGGGAATTTGTATATTTTGATTTACAGGTAGATTGCAGGTTAAGTACAGCAAAGGGTTACTTTTGGCATTTTGGTCTCTGTAGCCGGGGCGACATCGCAGGCAGCGGCGCCATGGCGGTGGGCTTCCTCGGGGCGCATGCAGTGATCTTGGCGGCGGCTGTTACGTTCTCGGCCCATGGGGCGATGGGGTGGTGGCCTTTTGGCCGCACAGGGGACCGGACTCTGCTTGCGCTGGCGCCACCACCCAAGCCCGGGCCGAGCTTGCTTCCCGTGGGCGGCGGGGGGCTTGGCAAGGGGCGGCCGACGCCCGCAAAACCTGCGCCCGCGGGAGGCAAGGGGCGAAGGCCATCGCCCAAGCCCATTGTGGTCGCCGCCACCGCGACGCCCACCACGATGTACCGCGTGAGCGGGCCTGGCGGCGAGGCCGCAGGTAGTGGCGAGCTTGGCCGCGCCGGGCAGCCGACCGACCGGAGGTTCGGCGAGGAGGCCCTACCCCGCGCGGGGGGCCAGCCGAGCGACCCTGCCAACCGAACGGGCTTGAACGAGACGAGCCCCTCAGCGGACCGCGCAGATTACGTGGGCTGGGCCAGATGGCTGCCTAACCGGCCAGCCTGGCGGGTGTCCACACCAGCCCCGTTCCCACCCCCACCGCCGCCGCCGCCCACAGAGGCGGGCGCGTCTGACTGGGGTTGGGGGTTCACGGCGTGGGCCTTCGAAGCTGCCGGCAATAGGGCCTGGGTTAGCGCTCCCGGCCAGACCGGCTCTATCCGTTCCCGCGTCAGCTGGGCCGGCTCGATGATCGACCGACGGGGAGTCCGTATGTTCGGATACTGGTGGGAGACGGCGGTCATGTGCATCGCCTTGGGCTTGGTGACGTTCGTGCTGGGCGCGTCCGCCTTCGTCGTGAAAGTGGCAGCTCGCCCTTCACTGGATGGTCAGCGGGTTGCGGTGGTCCTAGTGCCAGCTGACCTGCGTCTGCCGTCGGCGCGGAGGGACGGGCCCAGAGGCCCACCTCCCCCCGCTTGCACCGCCGCCGATCCTGGTTCGCTGGCGCGGGCCGGGGGTCCGGGGAGCGGTGGCGACGGCGTTCTTCGCGAAGGGGATTCCGCAGTCGAGGAACCCACCGTGCTTGTCCTCTTGCGCAAGCACGGCCAGGTGGCCCGCGTGAGTTGCAACTTCGACTCGCGCTACCGGCTCGACCGCCACGGGCTGAACATCCGGGTCAGCCAGGCCCACGGGTGCACCAGCCGTAAGTGGCGGGCCAACCTCGAGGATACCGTCTATGTGCACCTGTGCTGCGCGGCCGCCTGCGAGGCCTGCCCTGTGGCCCACCCGATGCGCGTGGACCAGTACTCCATGATCGACCGCGCCCAGACCGTGGACTCGGCGGAACATGGGAGGGCCACGCCCGGCCGGGCCGTGGGAGTTGGCCTCGGGAAGGTCCTTTGCCTCGCACGTTTGCTGTGCTTCGGGCTGATTTGGCCCGTGCTCTCGCGGCTGCGCCGAGGCCGCGCGCGGCCCCGCTGTAACGCCGACGCCGCCGGACTCAGGAAGTCAGGAAGTAGGACATCGACTCGGAGAGCGAGCTGGGGGCAGGGCGCTGGGCCGCCCAAGTCGGGGTGCAGTTGGCCAGCAGCGCGCGGCCGTTCCAACCCGAGGGGCGCAGCGATCGCGGGATGTCCGAACCGCCCGTCCTCCTGGAGGAGGATGCGGATGTATCAGACGCGCAGCGGCCGAGGCCAGGTCTCCCCGCCCAGGTGCACCTCTGCGCCCACCATGCGCAGAAGTATCGCCCGACCATGGTGGGCCCAAGGTGCAGCCTACTCATGTCCCTCCGAATAGCAAAGGGAAGCTGCGGCGGCACGCCGATGCGCGCGGAACATCTGCGATGGGGCGCGGTAGCCGCCAGGGTCGAGACCGCCGCCCAGCCGGGCCTCATCGGCGGGATCAGGAGGCGCATGCAGCGGCGAGGTGTTAGCCCAGCCGCGGTGCGCGACTGGGCGGCGCGCGCAGCCGAAGGCCTCCCGACGGGCGAGGCGCCGGCCGCAGCCCGGGGGCCCGCGGGCGCGGCGATTGTGCCAGCGCCACCCAGGCCTGCGCCCCCAGAGGGGAAGCATCGGACCCCCCGCGCCCCCGAGCCCCCGACGCCCGCGTCGGGCCCGCAACCCCAACGGACGCAGTCACTGGAGGCGCGAGGGGTGGGTCGCCCGCGCTCGAGGGGGCGGTGAGCGGCCGAGGACCGCATCGCGCGCCATGGGTGGCTGCGAGAGCCGTTCCTCCTAAAGGTCTGCTCCATGGGGGAGATGCAGGCGCTGACCAGACCCCTCCGAGCCACTGGTGCATTCAGAATGCAGCATTCTGATGCGAGATGCAGCATTCTGATGGGAGAATGCGTGGGGCTCGACGTCCGTGGGAGCGGCGGGAATGCGAGGCTCCTCATTCAGACGAGCATCGGCGGGGTGCAGGTCGAGGTGCCTCTAGCGAGGCAACGCGGCATCCACCCCCGGTAACCAACGGTCACTGCCCGATCGATTGGCTGAACCGGCTTCTCTACGAGACCCCCCCAGGGGGGCCCGCGAGGTGGGGGTGCGAGTCACGGCGCACCACGTAAAGGAAAACGCGGATGTGTCCCTCTTGGGCCGCTGCTTGGCCGCTCGGGAGCCTTTGAGGGCCCCCTGAAATGGGGGCGTCTTGAGATCTCTTACGGGGCCTCTTGGGGAGTCCCGGGGCCTTCTTAGGTCCGAGAGCTCGAAATCTTGATTCGCGTCCCCCCCATTGGGACCTCTCTTGGGGCGTTCTTGGGGCTTTCCTTCTTGAGCCGTCTTGGAGACCTCTTGGGCCGTTTCGGGGCCCTCTTGGGCCGTCTTGGAGCCCTCTTGGGGGCCTCTTGGGCCCTCTTGGGGCGGTCTTGGGGACCTCTTGGGCCGTCTGGTTCTTTCGGGAAGCCGAAGAGGTGGAAACGCCAAAACCTGTCCGAAACCTTTTTGGAAATAAAGAAAGGCAGCAAAAACGATGTTTGCCTCTTCGGGCCCTCCCGTGGCCGCTTGGGGGCATCTCGGGGGCTTCCTGAAGGCCTGTTGGGGGCGTCCTGGGGTCTGTTAAGGGGTCTCCTGGGGTTCCCGGGGCCTTTTTTGGGCCGGGAGCTCAAACTTTTGATTCGTGTTCCCCCGGGACCTGTTTAGGAGCGTTCTGGTTGATTCTATGAATGGCATTATTGAGCGGGACATTGATTCTCATTTTTTCATCTTCGCAAAATCATAGAACATCGTATGAAACACTTGCGAGTTCACTGTTGCGTGAGTTAAGACCTTTGTTGGAAGGGCGCGAAGCTGTAGTCGCGCATCCTGGGGCTCCCCTCGCTCGCCCCTCGCGCGGCCTGAATGTAATTCGTGGCGTCCTGCACTGTCGAGTTTGCGGGGGATTCGCAGCTCAGATTCCTCGACTCCTCGAGGAGGCCTGTCAGCCAAGTGGCGGGCCCGCGTTGGCCGGCGCCTGCGTGCTCTTTCGCCGCCGACGAGGCCTGTCTCCAAAGAGCGGGATGCGGGTCGATGAGGTTGTTGAAGCGCATGTTTGGGTGCGTGCGACCTGGCCGGACTTGGTTTCCGCAGGTGGCAGGTGGCCCAATTAACCAATACATCTGTTTGTTGCCATTTTGGGCCTTGTTGGAGGCGCCTTGTGCCGCCTCGAAGCAATTTTCGGCCGCCGTGGGGCAGTTTTCGGCAGTCTTCGAGGCGTCTCGGGCCATCTCGGTTGCTTGCGCGGGCCGTTTTGGAAGCTCGGGACGCTGATCCATTGATTTTATCAAGGGGTCGTGACACGGGAGGCCTTGGGCCGCTAAGAAGCAGCGCCTGGGAATGTGGGGAGTGCGCGATCCTTAAGCGGGTGCGCGTGGGATGAGGGGTCCAGGAGGTAGTTGCCATGCGGGAAGTGCACAATCCTCGCGCGGGCGCGCATGGAATGAGGATTCAGGCGTCAGCTGCCGTGCGATAAGTGCACCATCCTCCAGCGGGCACGCGTGGATAGGAGGTCCAGGTATTAGCTGCCATGCGGGGGGTGCACCACGAGGGAACGCGTGGAAAGGGATTCAGATTTTGGGTGCCATGCTGGAAGCGTACGACCTCGAGCGGGCACGGAGAAAGTGGCCTCGGTGATACGGGGGATTCACGCGAGAGCTTGCTGGTGGAGTGGGGCGGCTCCTTTTTAGATTCCAAAGCCTTACCAGGCAACCATTGGTATTCTTCGGCGCCTCAGGGTTCCAGGGGGCATGGTGGCAGAATTTGTGCCAGGACGCCAATCGGGGACTTCAACCATGCGAATCCATGAACTTGCAGAGTTTCTTTACGACGAGTATGCGCGGCGGCAAGGTAAGAGCCATGTTTCAAAACCGGCCAGCCTTCCATCTTTGAAGCGGTCGCAACTGTTGATGAATGTACGTGGCGTTTAGGCGAGAGCCACATTTTGGAAACGACCAACCCTCCATCCTTGAATCTGCTGCAAACTTAAGGTGCATGTGCGCGGCGCCCAGGCGTCAGCCGCATGTTGGAAATGACTAGCCCTCCATACTGGAAGCTTATGCTAACATGTCGGACAAATGAGCGTGGCGCTAAGGTGAGAGTCGCATTTTGAAGACGACCCGCTTTCCATCCTTGAAGTTGTTGCACACGTTTAAAACTAATGCGCCTGGCGCTAAACGGGAGGGGCGCGATTTGAGCACGACAAA